CACAGGTGTTCACCTGTCCACAGGTGACCTGTCCACGAGTGTTCACCTGTCCACAGGTGACCTGTCCACGAGTGTTCACCTGTCCACAGGTGTTCTGGTCCTCATGAACATTCTGCTCCAGCTGTCTCAGGTCTGAAGGGTTCCTTCTCCAGATGTTTCAGATGTTCATCAGGATCAGGACTCAGAAGGTCCACTTCAGAGCGGTCCAGTGTTTGGTTCTGATCCATTCTGGGATGTTTTTAAATGTCTTTGAGTCGTTATCCTGACAGAGACCAAAACTTTCTGACTGAGCCTCACGTTCAGCTCCAGAAGGCCTTGATAGTCTTGAGATTTCCTCATACCCAGCACAGATTCTAGACCCAGAACAAAACCGAGCCTCCTCCATGTCCCTCTACAGGTCCAGGGCTCTGCTCTTTGTTTCACTGGGTCTGTGGACACAGAGCTGATGGGACTTGTTGTCCAGTTTTGTCTCATCTGTCCAAAAGGACCAGAACTTTTGTCTCAGTTAGCAATTTCACAAATTCCAGTGTTTTATTCTGGTTTGGTGTCCTCCTTGGTTTGTCTTTCATTAAGTCCAAGTTATTCTGGACTTTTTGGTTTCCGTTCGTATTGTCTGTCTCTTCAGTTTGTCACCAGTTGTCCTCTTGTGGACACGTCCAAGGAGGTTGTCTCCAGTCCTGTGGACCTTCTGGGTATTCTGAGGAACATCCAGCTGCTGCTTTGCTTTGAACATGATGTCAGTCATTGTTTTTCTAAGCTCCTGAGACTCTTTGTCCCTCAGGAGACACTCTGTCCTCTGCTGAGACACTGTCCTCCATGTTCAGTGTGTTACACACCACGTCCCCAGTCAGTCCTGTGACTACCTGTCAGCCTTTAAACAGACCGACTGATTAGACTGAAGACACCTGAGCTGACAGACCTGTCCAACGTGTCCCCGTGGTCCAATTAGCTTCTGTCTTTTCTATAACAGTCAGGTTCATTAGTTTCTTTTTTAAATAAATCTATTAAACCAAATTTATGTTTTTCTTACAGATTTATTAATCTGAGCTTAATTTAAGTTTTTTTGTATAAATGTTAAATGAGTTTTTTTTAGGTTTGTTGACTCATTAGAGCAGGAGTTCTCAAGCCATTTGGGTCTGGGGACCCCTTACAAGGGTGAAAAAAATTCCAGGGACCCCCTCATACACCTCATGCTGTTTTTAAAGATAATTTATTGTCATTTCAACCCCTAAATGCCATGAGAATATATATA